TAGCCTGCGTGCTGCGGAACCATACGTGGCATAGGAAAAGGATTTCCGTGACGTGCGACAACCTCGACGTCATTGAAATAATTAACAGAGGTCGTTCATCCTCTCCCCAAATCACATCCTCCTCAGACGCATCACATGGCTCTCAGTCCTGAACATTTTATCATCACTGCTCGTCACGTCCCTCGTCACCTAACTGTCTTGCTGACTCTCTCTCTCGCTTTAAATTCCAGGAGTTCTGACGCCTTTGCCTTTCTGCCAATCCATTGCCATGCCAGATCCCCTGCACGGAATCCCTCGCCCCGGCCTAGTCCCTCCGTCTCTTCACCTTCTCTCCTCCGCTGCATCCTACATGAAAATGGGCTTCTTACGCATAAGCGAATTCACAAACTCTCACGCCACCTTCAATGCAGCCAAGACATTGCCTTCTCCGACCTGTCTTATTATCCCGACTACTTCAACCTCCACCTCAAGCATTCCAAACGCAAAGGCGCTTGCAACATAGTCATAGCTCGGTCTGACACTTCTCCCTGTCCCTACAGATCCATGATGCATTACACTCGCCTCCGCTCTCGGAAAGGAGATCTCAACGGACCGTTATTTCTTACTCCCGATAACCTCCCAATGTCATCCAACTGGTTCAGAGCCCAACTCAAGTCCGTACTGCTGCTTTGTAACCTGTCTCCCCATCTCTACACAGCCCACTCCTTTCGGATAGGCGCCGCCACGCGCGCCGCGTCCCTTGGGCTCCCCTATTCCGCCCTCCAGCAGCTGGGCCGCTGGTCATCATCGGCCCTCTCCTCATACATCAGGCCTGACACTTCTACCATTCTGGCAGCCCAGCGGCTTTTGGCATCTCCATAAAACGCTCGCTAAACTTCTGGTGGCGGCAGCAGCTGAGTATCCGCAAGTAATGGTCACAGTGTACAGTATATAGCGATAGCGGTCACAGTATATAGCGATAGCGGTCACAGTATATAGCGATAGCGGTCACAGTATATAGCGATAGCGGTCACAGCATAGAGCAGTCTCGACGTTCTGTCCCCTCAAACCAGGCTGCAAAACTCCATCAACTCACAGCCTTTTTGGGGATTGGCGCGCTCCATCGCAGGAGCCTCTCCGATCTGAAGGCCGCACCGGGACCTAGGGCGCCAAACCACCTCCCAATAAAATACTCAAAAGCTTCTTGTTTCTCGTCTCTCCAAATTGAAATGCAGCCCGTGGAAATTCAATTTGGTAGACGTCAGCCAAAGTTACCCCCTCCAGGCCGGTTCACATCCCCAGCCTATCGCACAGCAAACGCCCCCTTCCAATCACCCGTACCGGCCAGGCAGCCGCTTAAAAGCGGAGAAACTCCCACTTCACTGCCTCCCGAAGCCTTGCAACCACCGCCTCTCCTCCTCTTCACCCTGCCTCCAATCTGCCTTCAATCTGCTTCCCGCTGCCAAATGCCGCCACCAGTGCCTAGGTCCCGGGGGATTGGCGCGCTCCATCGCAGGAGCCTTTCCGATCCGAAGGCCGCACCGGGGCCTAGGGCGCCAAACCTCCTCCCAATAAAATACTCAAAAGCTTCTTGTTTTCTCGTCTCTCCAAATTGAAATGGGATTAACTAAATGAGCTCGTTGGCTAAGCATAATTTATCTATATACTTTAAAAAACAGGGAAAACAACAGCTTTAAACTTAAGAGAAGTTTACATTTTAGAGAAACACTTTTGAGAAAATCAGAGAAATGTGGCATATCCTGGACTCTCTGAATGTTTTAGTTGCACCTCGAGGCTTGCATCGAACACTATTAATTATTTCCAGTTTAAGAAATGTGTCATATTTTACATTCACCACTTCCATAACAGGACGACACGTTACATAACATGTGATAATCTGAAATGAAGGAAAGATCCAGGAAACAAGGCAATAAACACAAAGTTTTTCTGCAAACAAATTCAGTAAATGTCATTCTATGCAATACACCATAAATAAAGTTATTTCTGGGAGATTGGTGACGGATTAAGGGTTAACATGCAGGGATTATGAAGGGATTATTGTTACTTTTATCCACATAAAATGATCTATTATTGTGTGAAACGGTATTTTCTGTATCATCTCCAGATAAACTGAATGTTAATGTTTGTAAATCAGGATTAGATTTCTGAGACTGGAGACTTTAAATATTTTCTGATTTGTTGCAAAAAGACAAAACTGTACCAAATGTAATCTTTGTATTTATAAAATGCACATAACACAGTAGGTGCAGCTGTGCCACAGTGTCCTGAGGCTGAAGTCTGACACACATCACCTGTGTCCTGAGAACGTAAAGTGTATTATTCCAACCTTCATGGATTATAAACATCGTCGTGATTCTAACATGGGGTGAGGCATGTTTCAGAACCAGGGACTTAGATAAACAGAGTGTGTTCCAAAGAAATGAGGAAGTGCCTTTGTCCAAGATAAACAGTTGTGTTTACAGAAGAACGATGGCAGCGCTTCTGCTTTGCACCGTCTCCATGGAAACGCTTAGCAACAGTGCCTTTAACAACCTCAGAGCTATAGTTCATCTTTAGTTGGTGTTTCTCTGGGCCGCACAGAGGTCCTGGGTTCAACTCCCCCTCCAGATGTGGGCTCTCTGTGTGTGCAGTTTGCATGTTCTCCCCATGTCTGTGCCGGTTTCCTCCGGTGCTCCGTGTGTGTGCGTGCGTGTGTGTGTGTGTGTGTGTGTGTGTGGTTGTGTCTGTGTGTGTGTGTATTATTGTGTGTACATATATTGATTTGATCGAGTTGTGGATCGAGGTGAAGTGTATTTTTGAGTTTAAAAAGTGAAGTTTAAGAAGTTCTTTAGTAGATACAGAGTCATACAGGTCTCTCTCCAGCTGTGTCCATGTGTTCAGTGTAAACAATACTTCATCTTCACAACATTGTCATATATGTTATACACTAAACTATAAATATTATACACTAAACTATATATTATACACTAAACTATACATATTATACACTAAACTATAAATATTGTGTGTAGTGCTCTTTGTGTGGACATAAATAAGTTTAGAAACAGACTCATTAGCATAAAGGCTATAAGGATATGTGCAAAATATACAAACACACGATTTCTACTGTACATAAACCCCATGTGCAGCTCTACATGTGCAGCTCTACATGTGCAGCTCTACATGTGCAGCTCTACATGTGTGTAGCTCTACATGTGCAGTTCTACATGTGCAGCTCTACATGTGTAACTCTACATGTGCAGCTCTACATGTGTAACTCTACATGTGCAGCTCTACATGTGTGCATCTCTACATGTGCAGCTCTACATGTGTAACTCTACATGTGTGCAGCTCTACATGTGTAACTCTACATGTGTGTAGCTCTACACGTGCAGTTCTACATGTGTGCAGCTCTACATGTGCAGCTCTACATGTGTAACTCTACATGTGTGCAGCTCTACATGTGTGCAGCTCTACATGTGTGCAGCTCTACATGTGTAACTCTACATGTGTGCAGCTCTACATGTGTGCAGCTCTACATGTGTGCAGCTCTACATGTGTGTGGCTCTACATGTGTGCAGCTCTACATGTGTGCAGCTCTACATGTGTAGCTCTACATGTGTGTAGCTCTACATGTGCAGCTCTACATGTGTGCAGCTCTACATGTGCAGCTCTACATGTGTAACTCTACATGTGTGCAGCTCTACATGTGTAACTCTACATGTGCAGTTCTACATGTGTAACTACATGTGTAACTCTACATATGTGTAGCTCTACATGTGCAGCTCTACATGTGTGGCTCTACATGTGCAGTTCTACATGTGTAACTACATGTGTAACTCTACATATGTGTAGCTCTACATGTGCAGCTCTACATGTGTGGCTCTACATGTGCAGTTCTACATGTGCAGCTCTACATGTGTAACTCTACATGTGCAGTTCTACATGTGTAACTACATGTGTAACTCTACATATGTGTAGCTCTACATGTGCAGCTCTACATGTGTGGCTCTACATGTGCAGTTCTACATGTGTAACTACATGTGTAACTCTACATATGCGTAGCTCTACATGTGCAGCTCTACATGTGCAGCTCTACATGTGTAACTCTACATGTGCAGCTCTACATGTGTGGCTCTACATGTGCAGTTCTACATGTGTAACTACATGTGTAACTCTACATGTGTGTGGCTCTACATGTGCAGCTCTACATGTGCAGCTCTACATGTGTAACTCTACATGTGCAGCTCTACATGTGCAGCTCTACATGTGCAGCTCTACATGTGTAACTCTACATGTGCAGCTCTACATGTGTGGCTCTACATGTGCAGTTCTACATGTGTAACTACATGTGTAACTCTACATGTGTGTGGCTCTACATGTGTGTAGCTCTACATGTGTGGCTCTACATGTGCAGCTCTACATGTGCAGCTCTACATGTGTAACTCTACATGTGCAGCTCTACATGTGTGGCTCTACATGTGCAGTTCTACATGTGTAACTACATGTGTAACTCTACATGTGTGTGGCTCTACATGTGTGTAGCTCTACAGTGCTCACAAAGAAAAGTCAGTCCACCTTAAAAGTGCTCTTGGTAAATTCACATTTCCTGAAAACGCCCCGTGCCAAAGAGAAAGAAGCAGAAACGGAGAGAGTTTGTTTATCTAAAGAAGGGGCTGGACATGTGCTGGTTCTACTGCGGACTTTCAGACCTGCTCTAACTCTGGGGATTAAAGTTCAGATCAGAGATCAGTCTGGACTCTGGAGCTGAGTCTGGAGCTCAGAGCGACCAAGGTCAGGCTCAGTGACCGCCCACCGGAGCTGTCAGCCCGACATGTGGAGCAGAGAGAGCCCGGAGCCGCAGACTCCAACCGCGGATCGATAAACCTCTGCATGGGCCTTACACGGAGGAAAGACACCTCTGAACTCTCTTAATGGATGAAAGAAACCTCTGAACTCACGGGGATTGTATCAGTGCCACACGCTTTGATCCAACTTTTGTGAATATTACGCGGAGTGACATGTTGGGAAACCCCGGGACTTACGCAAACAAGAAGAGGAAGAAGCCAGTCCTGAAACAGTAAGTTTAAACTCCATAAAACTGCAATGTCGTTTATGTTATTCAACTGGCTTTAAAAGACGTAGCCTGTAGGGTTAGGTTAGGGCAACTCTCTCAGTTCCAGTGATCAGCCTAAAGAAAAAAACGCAGTGCATTTCCATGTTAGTAATAGATTGAACATACAATATTCACATGTGTACCTGTGCGTAAACATGTGTAAATGTGCGTAAACATGTGTACCTGTGCGTAAACATGTGTACCTGTGCGTAAACATGTGTATCTGTGCGTAAACATGTGTATCTGTGTATAAACATGTGTATCTGTGTATAAACATGTGTAACTGTGTATAAACATGTGTAACTGTGTATAAACATGTGTATCTGTGTATAAACATGTGTAACTGTGTATAAACATGTGTAACTGTGTATAAACATGTGTAACTGTGTAAACATGTGTACACGGACACAGAGTCAGCCCAATGGCCTTTTCCAGTCTGCAGAGTTAGAGCAGGGCTGTGACAACCAGGCAATAGCTTGGACTTTAGGCGTGGTCTCCTCCAACACAATAACACAACTATATTACTCATACATGTAGCACTAGCACTCGGTGACCTCAGTTATGGACAATACTCGAGTACTTTTAACAGCCTGCAGCATGTGACCAGGCCGGAAGTGGTGCAGACAACTGTGCAGAAAAGTTCCTTAAAATCATGCATAACTCCGTAACGCGCAGTGATTGTGTGTGTGTGTGTGTGTGTGTGTGTGTGTGTGTGTGTGTGTGTGTGTGTGTGGAGGGGTATATGTGTGTGTGGGGGGGGGGGTATATGTGTGTGTTTGGGGGGGAGTTCGTGTGCGTGTGGGGGGGAGTATGTGTGTGTGTGTCTATGTGTGTGTATGTGGGGGGAGTACATATGTGTGTGTGTCTTTATGCGTGTATGTGGGGGAGTACATGTGTGTGTGTGTATGTGGGGGGGTATGTGTGTGTGTGTCTATGTGGGGGGGGAGTATATGTGTGTGTGTGTGTGTGTGGTGGGGAGTATGTGTGTGTGTCTTTATGCGTGTATGTGGGGGGGGAGTATATGTATATGTGTGTGTGTATGGGGGGGTATGTGTGTGTGTGTCTATGTGGGGGGGAGTATGTGTGTCTATGTGTGTGTATGTGGGGGAGTATATGTGTGTGTGTGTGTGTGTGTCTATATGGGGGGAGTATATGTATATGTGTGTGTGTGTGTCTATGTGGGGGGGGAGTATATGTCTCTGTGTGTGTGTGTGTGTGTGTCTTTCTGTGTGTGTGTGTGCATAGACTGTTGCTCACTTTTTGGACTACCTTAAGAATGTGTGTAAGTTGGATCTGGCATGGATATCTTACCCTCGCGCATTAATCACAATCAAGTTGGAGAGTCGGCTGCTGCTCTCACGCGATGCACTGAGGAGGGAGGGGGGGGGGGGGGGGGGGGGGGGGCAGGAGGGAGGGAGGGGGGAGGGAGGGGGAGAGCTCCGGGCCCTCAGTGTTTTTGTAATCTGATCTGCCTGCACCGCTGTGTGCTCTCTGCCTGTCCCAGTCTTTTCTTGCTCTCTCTAAACTCTTGGGAACTTTTAGACTTTTGCTGGAACTCTATGACTTCTTCCAATCCAATCCACTTTATCTATATAGCACACTTTATTATTAATTTATAATCAATACGTCACGTTTTCAAGCGTAACGTCGTGCCTTCTGATTGTTAAGTTTAGATATGCTGTTGTTTTAAACTTTGTTGGAGGTTAAAACTGACATTTATGCCCCAAAAAGGAGATTCTCTTCACTAAATAAAAATCCACGATCTCAGCCACTGATCATCTTGTAACCTTATAGACATTTTTGCTCATTCCTGCTTTTGGATTGATCAAACTACTGTGATTTTATTTCTAGTACGTGTATGTTTTAGTATGCAGCACATTTAACAGCTCATGAGACCAGCCACTTTCTGAGGCTTCACCGACACATTACTGCAGGATTCAATGGAAATATGAACTCCAGAACATTCTCGCTGCACAGAGAGAGAAAGAAAAATCTGCCATGTTGTGGAAGACCGTAGAAAAACAAGAAAAGGAGGAGGAGACTCGGTGCATGCTTAGTTTGTGGAGATACATACTTGTGGAGTTACTGGACACATGCTTTTTATATCATGTGAATGAACCAGTGCAGCGGACAGTACTGACAATGCAAAAGTACTGATTGACTGTTGTTATGAAGTTAGTTAATAATTAAAACATTCAAGTTGTGTCTAAAAGGTAAATATACAGTTGGATTCCCGGGCAAGTTTGTGACCTCTGTAAATTAATAACAGATTTATAGGAGACAGAGATAGCTCCGTTGTGGACTCTCTGTCTGGCTGCTGTCTCATTAAACTGATTATACGTTCCTATAGCAGGGTCAATACCAGACGAATGTACTGTACTTGCAAAAAGGTGTCCTCTCACACAATATTTTAGCTATTTCTACTTCACCATTCCAGTAACTATTATTATTATGATTAATCTTCATGTTCTCTGTCTGGTGCACACTGGGGTCGTCTTGCACAGTTTTTCCAATGTGGTTTTACTGCATATAGCAATTCTTTAATCTTGTATCTTGTAATCTGGTCCATAGTTAAAAGTAAATAGTCAATGCACAGAGTATATTGCACATTGAAAAACAAAAAGAACATTACAGCTTCTGCACAGTTTAAAGCCATGACCTCCTCCCAATGAGTTACAAAAGATAAACTTTATAATGTGCAATAAACAATGTGTTACTAGATGTTCAGACATTGTTCTTCTTCATGTTTGTGGATCCATATTAGTCACATTCTGAGTGGTCTGAGGGCAGCCACAAGATTTACCCCAGATAACCTTCAGCCACCACCGTCTCCTCTCTGTGAAGTCTGAAAATCTCCTTCTGTAACATCCTGAAACATCTGCCTGTAACGCAGAGGGACCTGGCCATTCACAGCGGGTCGTCTGTTCCCAGTCAGATCCCAAAATAAGAAGGTGGAGTGTGCGTAGACATCTGTGTTTCTGAAGAGACTGAGGTTTCCTGCGCGGCCAGCTGCGCTCCGCCGGCACAAAGGCACCATTGAGCCGGACTGTAAAAAGCTGTGGTCACTGCAGAGGGGCATTCCGTGGCAGATATGTCCATCCAAAGTCTGCCTTTCATCGACTGGACGCCTTCCCTCTGCGCACCGAGGCCCATTGGATTTTCAAAAATATTGTTGTGCCAGAGTTTTGTGTGTTCAAGAGTCTGATGCTATTTAATGCTTTGCTTCTTTGTGTGTCTGTGTATGTTTCTTCTACACAATTGAACTTCCTCCAGAGGTAGATATGTAACAAGGAGGTCCCAAGCTCAGACACAACGACATTATAGCACCAGGCGTCTGCTGTGAGCCACTGCACCACAATGGAACTTATACAGGATCAAAATGTGCATATTAATAACTAATAACACTGACTGTGATTGGTCAACTGCTTTCACTTCTAATAAAACAAGTATTGTTCTTAAAGTTTATAAAAACCTGGATTACTGAAGTACAGCTTTAGCCAGCTTTGATAACAATCTTTACCAAGGCAAATATTTTGAGATAAGATTACGGTGGCTGGATTATGAGAATGAGACGTGCAGATAGGAGGCGTGGCACGGAGCCAAAAGCATTCCTGCTGAACACAGTTTTCCTTTGTTTCATTGTTCCAGGAGTCATCACTCTATAATCTTCAGCAAACATTAAAAGCCGTCACTTTGGATCCAATTAAACAGATCCATGTTAGAAGAAAACAAACAAAGAAAGCATTGAAGCAGCCCTCGGGAAAACGTACAGTTCATTATGTTTGATGAAGACTCAAGGTCAACAGCACAGTAACATTATCCAATCTTCTTCTTTATGTAAACTTTGGACAAAGAAGAGGAAGGACTTCCTGTCCCAGGCCTGGGCAGGAAGACCCTCTGACCACAGCAGCTCCAGGACCACTGAAAACACAGAGCATTGTTGGATCAGCTGCTCCACGTCTCTGTAGATTACACCGAGCTCTTTATAACTCACACACACATGTGCCCTTTAAATATAAACATGTGTAAATGTATAGTGTGATACAGTTTATAACTCACACACACATGTGCCCTTTAAATATAAACATGTGTAAATGTATAGTGTGATACAGTTTATTTCCTGGGCAGCCCTCATTAAACCTTGGATTAAACAAGCAGAGCAAACTTTCTCAATTTGTTAAAATACCAAGCAGAAAAAGAAAAGTAATTAATGTGGATACTTAATCTGGATGCTTAAACTGAGAAATAAGTTTGAGGAGATTGTTTTGCGTAGACAGTAAGACAGTGTGAGTTTTTGTATGAATTCCTCTTTTTATGACACACACATCAGTCCATATGGTTCTGTCCTCAATCCAGTCCAAACTAGTTCTGTAAATGTGAGGAGAAAGCACATGTTCTGTGGTGAAGCCTCTGGGTCACAGCCCCGGGCTCTGGACAGAAAGTGTGTCTCTGCCTCGAGGTGAACGAGGTCGGAGTCTGATGCAGAGATAACGGAGACAAACAGAAACGCTGCGCTCGACCCCGTGATATCGCCGAGGTAGAATCTGCTCCTGAATGCTGGCTTTTGTCTGCCTGGATTTCTGCGCAGTGAGATCAGCCCTGGTCCAAAACTGTCGAGGTGTAACTTACATACCAGGACCATTATTCTGCGGCAGAGCGAGAAACTCAACAGTATTAACTAGAGCCGCACTCCAGAGAGGAAGGAGAGACTTCAGACCCGTGGACCAGGACTGGAGCCGGCCCACGGACAGAAGTATGATCTCACTCTGCTGTTACAGACCTGAGGAGAAAAACAGTTAGCACCATTAGTTACACTTTTCCATAAAGACGGGTCCAGGAGTGAGGCTGAAAACCTGGTCATCTTCTTTTAGCTTAGGGCCTGGGTCTATAGTCTGAATCCTGGGTCTATAGTCTGAATCCTGGGTCTATAGTCTGAATCCTGGGTCTATAGTCTGAATCCTGGG